CAGTGGCGCGTTCACACTGGATCTGTCACTGTCATCAGTGGCGCGTTCACACTGGATCTGTCACTGTCATCAGTGGCGCGTTCACACTGGATCTGTCACTGTCATCAGTGGCGCGTTCACACTGGATCTGTCACTGTCATCAGTGGCGCGTTCACACTGGATCTGTCACGTTCATCAGTGGCACGTTCACATTGGATCTGTCACTGTCATCAGTGGCGCGTTCACACTGGATCTGTCACTGTCATCAGTGGCGCGTTCACACTGGATCTGTCACTTTCATCAGTGGCGCGTTCACACTGGATCTGTCACTGTCATCAGTGGCGCGTTCACACTGGATCTGTCACTGTCATCAGTGGCGCGTTCACACTGGATCTGTCACGTTCATCAGTGGCGCGTTCACACTGGATCTGTCACTGTCATCGGACACTAAAGTCCTGAGATAAACTTCACCGGGTCACTCAGTTGTTTTGATGCTGAATGCTTCTGTATGTGCTTGACGAAATAGCGTGCAGCAACCACACCAATGATCTGTGGAATAGATGAGTTCTTTTGTCATCATTTACAGCAGTGATAGACAGGTTCTAATTCATCACTTTCAACATCGTGGCAAGTAGTGTGGGAAGTAATGTAGCTAGGGTTAGTACTACACAGAGTAAGCCCAGATTTTTGCCACCAGCCCCCCAACCCCCCCCCCTCCAAAATTATTCTGCAGTTGGCCGAAAATGCCGTCCCTAAATATAAAGAAAAAAAGTGCCTCCTGGGGCGGAATGCCCCCACCCCTCCACCAACACCCTCCCTATGCCAGTCAGTGGTGGACTGATTTAAGTTAACATTGTTAACAGTAGAGCAGAAAAGCCTCATTTAAATTGTATCATAATTTCAGAAGTAGTTAAAATTTTTAACATCTCTCTTATATACATATCCTGCTTCTGGTATGGCTGATTCCTTTTCCCAACCGCCCCCCCCCTCAACATGTTTTATATTAATAGTAATGAGTTGGAAAGAAGGCTTTAAGGCAGCGAGCGTCATGCGTGACGGTTGAACTCCGGTAAAAAGGTGTTTTTTTTTTAGGAGGCGACTTTTATATTAATCAATATAGAACCACGGGTATGCTG